GTGGATGGATCCGTCACCTCAATCGCTGAAGCTGAATTGGAGAACACAATCAGCGAACATTCGGCGTTTGCATTGCTGGGCGTGGGTGATCTGGTCTTATCTGCTAACGAGCTTGTGGTTGACACAGGTGCCAGCAAGCATGTTGTTGTATTGGAGGATGCTCTGTCTGCAGTGTGTGATGATGGCTGGCTTTGCGGCTGAGCTGTATTGACATTAAATTGCTCTAATCGTTGAACTGGGATGTGGTATCCTCCGTGTGCACGTGATTGGTTATAATGTGTTGCCTTTTAATAATGATGCATCTGTTGGAGTGCCGAGGGTATGTTAGGGTGAATCCCTTATCCTGTAGTAAATTCTGCAATATCAGTTGTTATACGAGCGCGCGGGCGGGGGGGAGTGTGATATAGGGATAATATTTTCTATTTCAAAAGAGATTAGTCACAATGTATGTATATAAGGTATGGCTCTCATAGCCGTTGTAGTGGTTCGGGAAATATCGGTAGGAAGAAGTCGTCAGTAAATTCCCAGAAGCTCGGGCCGAGTGAGTCGACGATGGAGGATATGCGCTGGGCCAATTCAGCCGGTGCTGACAAAAAAACTGACACCATCGAGTGTGCCATGTATTCGCTTGCTGACCTACTAAATAGCGTACCCACGACATGCCAATGTTAGGAAGTAGACCCCGTTCAGTGATCACAGTGATAGATCCGATCCGTCCACGAGTTGTAAAGGGAAGCGGTCGGTTTTAAGTTGGATAAGTTTGTGCCTAGCATGGGAATTAAAGTAATTAGCTGTCGTACCACCATCGATTAGTAATCTGGCAACATGGCTGGACGGGGGATTACGTTCAATGTACTGGTGCGAGTGACGTACTCTGTACAGTGGATGATATGAATAGACATGCTGTAGGAAAAATTGTTTTTATTTATATTCAACCACGAAAGGGTGGTTGAATTGCATTCCCAAGTAGCGTGTTGTTTATCGCTGTACTTGCTGCATGCCTTTGAGAAACGACCTGAGTGATACCGTGTGGACCAAGAAACATAGCATTGTGGGGAAGGAGGGGAGGGGGTAGGGGGTAGGGGGGGGGGAAATGGTCGTAGTAGTTGTGGATAGTGGGGTAGCTATTTTGTTAACTCTGGGGGTGTGTATGTTGTTCATAATTACCTATTCTTCACCAAAGAGCCAGTGATCTTTGATGGAGATTGCGCGACGTGCAGTAGTAGATCGACTGATGAGATAACCTTTAGTCTGCTCCTGATAGAAGTCAGGAAGATCAGTTAATAAAATATTTTGGCGTAGTTATTAGAGAAAGAGGTGCCCTGTTCGCGTGCGTTCCGGATGGGGTTCTGTTGAGTAGTAGCAAATTGTGCTGCGACCATGTCGGTTACAGATCGGTTGTCATAGTCTAAGAGCGGTCAAATATCAGTAGTGTATTCGTGCCACGTATCATATTGCTGACCGGACAATTCAAGAAGGGTCTAAGTACATTTCGAGGGGTGTTTCTCGGCGGTGGATATCATCAAGTGGTATTGGTGGGTAGGTTGGTGGTCACGATTATGAATGGGATCTTAATGACATTCTAAATTACTGCGAGGTGTTGAAACCCACCCGACTTGCTGATGCTAAACCGGTTCCATAGGAACCGATCCATGAAGCTGAAAGCACTACTGATTTCGGACACGCAAGAAAGCCATTGGTTCCTATCGCGGAACCCGAAATCTCCCCATCCGATCACTTTCTGACGAACAACGAGAGACCCTCAACAAAGAAACTATGATGAAGGATCCATGGACTCTATACGATATTATTCGTCAATCTTATTTCCATAAATCTATTCGATTCTCCCAGCCTATCAACATGGTTTACCTTCGCAATCTCCAAGTTGGCATCGAAGAAGACTCCCGTGCTTGGGCCCTCTGATGCAAGAAACTAGGCTGCGATGCCGAAATTCAGGGGATCATTCTGACTGGCACTTTCATTAATGATTGTTATCTTACTGGCCTATCCCAAGAAGACCAAGAACAAACTCGACAGTATATGACGGCCAAAGATGTGCGCGCTACGTTAACGCCTATTATTCTCTGCGACTTATTGGGTGAATGGTACAACACGGACCCAGAGCACCTTACGCCCGCTCAGCGTGCATCTCGTGCACAAGCTCGACGCATGTATACTGACCCTTCCCGTGTCGACCGCTCTCCTGCTTGTTTTGTCTGTTGAAAATTAACCATTGCTCATCGAATTGTCCTATCGCCTGCAGCAGATGTGGCATCAAGGGCCATAACAATGGAAACTGTCCAGCAGGCACACTTCAATGCACTACTTGTAATCGTATGGGACATAATTCGACTTGCTGCGACCGTAGTGCTATTAAAAACAACATCTGTTACCCTTTTGTTACACGTGTCACTGTTAATTATACCCAGCCTACCACCGCGACTAAAATGTTTATTGACGGGGGCGCAACTGTTAATTTTCTTAATACCACTGCCCAGGACACACTACTAAATGTCACATATGGTTCTTTTCCAAGCATACTGGCTAATGATTCTGAGCGGATCATCCGCACTCGTGGTACTCTACCAGGACTGGGTCTCACTTATCTCGACCCTATTTTTAAGCAACCTCTTATATCGCAGAATAGGCTTGAAGATCATGGCTTTGAACTGAATTTTCTATCCTCGAGTCCAGCTTGCGAGCTGTCATATAAAACCTAATCTATACACATCCCTAGATGTAACGGAGGCTACCATGTATCGTATGACACTCTTCAGACACTCTCTCCCCATCTTCGTCAAACAAAGTCCCCTACCCAGCTCCCAGCCCAGGCCCGCTCCAACCAAACTAAAACGGTTTCTTCACAGCCTGGCCCACCTTCGCATCCTCCTGTCTCTACTACTCAGATCACGGTCAAGGCGCTAACACTAATGTGACATCCCCGCCCTACTTACTCCGACTCTTACTCCGACTCCTACCCCACCTGCTGCTACTACTCAAACATATGATGAGTATCATCGGAATAAAAGTCACCGCAGCAGAAAAACCACTCTACGTATGGCGGCGATAGAAAATGTAACACTCACGCACCCACCACCTCTCGGCGTCACTTGCGAGGCATGGATGCTAAATCGCCAGCATTGGCGACAGGCCATGGAGTTTCTCGACTATTCCCCGACTATCGATGTCTGCGTTTCCACTACAAATGCTCAAGTCCCTTGAATTGCTGGACCTGAAGGGGGGATTGTAAATTGTTACTCAAAAGTCGATTACATCAATCTCACATCCAACGCAACGTATACATCATCCTAAACACGGCCTGTACCTTCTTATGACATGGTAAACACGCTGTGGATAAACCTTCTTGTGTGTATGCCCTAGTGGCATTAATTGGTCCTCTTCGTTCAGCAGTAACTTCATACGCACAACTTCAGACGGCGATAATCTATGCATGGGGGTTTTTCGTTTCTGGCGGCGATGTTGCAACTATGTGTTTTCTTCTTCTTTTTTTCTTTTCCTTTTTACATTAACAAAAATATGGTTGCACTTCCACCAGGTGAAACGAGTTTCGACGACGACGATGACGACAATTCATCAAGCGGTACTGTGTGGACACTAGTGGCGGTAAAGAATCGACCGATTCATGCCCATGTGTGGTCTGACAAAAAAAAGTGAAACTGGCATTTGTTCGCGCATACGCAGACGACTGCTACAGTGGAACCAGCGTCACGTTCGCAAAGCTGGACAAGGCGATTGACAAACTAGCGTCGGGGACGAGTGCCATTGTACGACTCATCTTCACAAACGGACCGGACGAGTACCGAACGCCGTCGTGGGCAACGACGAAAAAACGCGAGGATGAGACAAATGACTGGAGTCATCCAAAGATGATGGAGATGGCATCAGAGCTCTTCGGAAAACTGACGCTGCATTTGCGCGATGAAAATCGATGCTGCCTACTACAGCTCGGGTTTGGCTATTGGAGCGAATTCCATGTGTCTGGAACTACAATGAAACCGGACGTAAACTTCCCGAGCGTTAAACAAGTGGACACGCTCTTTGATATCGTCAAGGCCAACCGTGGCCCGCTATAGGTTGCGGTCAGCGTGGGCGTGGGCGACAAGAAGGGTGTGCTCAGTGACAGTTTTCGAACCAAGTCGACAATCGGTATTTTCTACGACTCGTTCATGAAGACCAAAGGTATCGAGTCGGCATATGAGACGAGCCTGTACAACGGATGCAAGTACAACGAGCGCGTGTATACAATGAAAGGTGGGGAGTTCTCAAACGGCGAGGGTAAATTGGAGGCAATTATGGACACGACCAAATTGCTGATGAAAGCGCGCGCCATGCACTACATTCTACCTAACGGAACATCAGGCATCATGTCGTCCAGCAGCTCCAAGGTCCCGGAACTGTCCGAGTACATGAGATATCGTCTCAAGGTAACGGCTGCAAGCAAAAACACTGACTAAGGTCCAGGAACTGTCCGAATACATGGGATATCGTCTCAAGGTAACGGCTGCAAGCAAAAACGTTGACGGGTACACTCGGCTCACAGTGTCAAACGTGGGCATTGCACCGACCCTGTACGATCTGAATATGTAACCTTTGAGCCGAGCCTGGGAAATCTGAAACCGGGGGAGAGCCGATACGTGTACGGGAAGATTGTCGTAGTCGACAATACACAGTTCCAGGCCGAGGGTGCTCGGTATCTGGAAAAAGTGCCACTGATGTAAGTTCCGGTAGAGGCATCCTAATTTGTACCAGCGGTACAGACGTTATGGGACCTAATTTGTACCAGCGGCACAGACTCGAACGGTACCACTGTTCAAAAGGTCCTGAGATACCGTTCGAGTCTACGCGGTAGAGGCGTTTTGGGACCGAATTTGTACCAGCGGTACAGACTCGAACGGTACCACTGTTCAAAAGGTCTGGGACCAGAGGTCCAAGAAAAAATCGAAAATTTCGGATGTAGCATTTGGATAATTCGTAGTACCAATTCAATCGTCCAGATGAGTTCCCGTGTAATCCCCAAATGCCCCCCCAATGTCGAGAGTGTGCCGTTTGTAGACGAGAATGGTGACACTATCGACATTCATATCGTAGGTGACGGGAGACGTGAAACTACATACTTCAAGGCCGTCGATATAGCCATGCTCGTCGGGGCATCAAGAGCACAAGTTATCACCGATGCACTTGACGTCAACAATTGTGTGCGAATCGGGAAAGCAATCAACGACCCGGTATACATCAAATTTGCCGGACTCATACAGTACATTGTCTCTTCACGCAAGGCCCGAGGCACGCAGTACGGGATTTGGATCCGCAAGATTTTGTTTGCGTTTACTATAAACGACCATCATACGATTGTTGAACTAGCCCAACCGTCCCTAGCAACCGTCTCGCCTGATCTTACGATTAGTTACCCGACAGGTATATACCTGTTGGACGTTGGTACCGTGGGCAGTTTACGAAACAAGCTCACTGAACCGACGGATGCTGCCGACGATGATGTGGTACTCAAATTTGGCATGTCAAACACAAATCTGTTCAGACGCATGCAAGAGCACGACTTCCCGAACGCGTCCCGACTGGTCATGTGCTGTATGCCGCCTGAACTCGCTGGGAAAGCCGAGAAGGAAATTCACATGTACATGAACAATATGCACATCGTAAAGCCATTTGCTTATGAGAAGCAAAGCGAGCTCGTGTCTGTACCGAGGAACAAGCTCGACTTGATCACGAACAGCGTACGGAAAATTGGTGTTGAACGCGGGGGTGAAAATGCCAAGGTCAATACGACACACGAAATTGAAAAGATCAACTTGCACTTGAACTTTTCAAAGGAAAAGCTTGAGAAGGCCGAGGTCGACTTGCAGACAATTGCAAAGCAGTTAGACGCACAGTTATATGACAAGGATCGTCAATTGTCAACACTTACCACTCGGATTGCCGAAAAGGAACGTCAGCTTATCGAGAAAGACTAGCAAATTGTCAAACTTACAGACAGACTTGCGGATGCAAACGATAAATTTCTCAAGCTGGCTGTCCCAGCCAACGTTCGCAAGCGTCTCCGTGAGAATTAGTCCACCAAACAAAAATTAATAGAAGAAGAAAAAACAAATATAATGCCCAACGCTTCAAGCCTAGTTGTTCATTATCGTTAAAAAAAAAAGAGAAATCAAACGTCAGTTGGAAATCATTATAACTGTTGTAACGACGCTATAATGCAAACCATTAGCAGGGACACAGCTGAACGAATGACTGTTGTATACATGCCCGCCGAACTTGCCTCCGAGGCCGAGGAGGTAGTGAAGGACTTCTTCCACGAGCTCCACGACACCATGCCGTTGAGTATTACCGACATTGCGAAGGAGATGGGGAGCGTGAATGTGTCTCACATCATCGAGACTCTCAAGCTAAACCTCGAGCATACATCCGATATGATGAAAACTTTGGAAGAAAACAAGGTGACATTGAAAGAAAAAATTGCAATGTTGAAGGACGAGAAGGTGATCTTGAAGGAGGAGAATGCGCGTCTTTCACAACGTCTGAATCTGATTTCTGAACGTCATGACGAAGATCAACACAAGCATGCTGAGGAATTGAGAGAGATCAGAACTAAGCTTGATCTAGCCAACGTACAGATTATGAAGCTGTGTATGACAGCGCCGATGCGCAAACGCTTGCGACTGGACTAGTTCATATCCTAAACTGTGTACTCGTATATGAGCGAATAAAAAATAGCCTGCGGGCTAAAAACGATCGAAATTTGAAAAGATTTTTTTTTTTGAAAGGAGAGCCGCGTCTTGGTCGCATTATGACGATTCTAATTAATATAGCGGTTGTCCTGACAATCATTGTCGTGTACGGCTTCATATACATGGTCATGCCAGCCGATTCGTTCGGTTTTACAAGCAAACTTGATCCATTCTATTTTAGTATGACCACGTACTCGTCTGTGGGATACGGCGACTACAGTCCCAAAACGAACGTCGCGAAGCTATTAGTCATGTCGCAGCAGTTTATCATTGCAGCCGAGTTGATATCACTGCTCACTGGAAGCGGCTCGATCATCTTAAAATCCATTTCGGGGATGAAGGACTCGTTCATGAAAAAGAGCTTCGGTAAGGTAAAATCGCTACTGACGTCGAAACGCAAGTCAAAGGCTCTAAAGAATGGTAGGAGTGGGACGATACAAAAGCCAGATACTCCTAAATATCAAAAGTCATATGGTGGTGCACGCGGCCGAGTATCAATGTCAAGAGGAATATTCTCGAGAGGTAGGAAGGGTCAAAAGTCAGGTGATAATGGATCTGGTGCACGCGGCCGAGGATCAATGTCAAGAGGAATATTCTCCAGAGGTAAGGGATTGAAGTTAACGAGCGGAGGTGCACGCCGCTCAATCTTGTAGTTTTGGTGTATGCAATGCATGCGGGAATACCAATGGTACTACATGGGGGACTTATGCGAGGCTTTTCCAGCCGCTGTTTGTGTCGAACCAAATCTCGGTCGCCAGCGACTTGTTCTTCGACACGTCGGACGACGACACGTCCTCGTACTCGAATATCCAAATCGGCTTCTTCCCTGCGGCCACCTCGTGGAACACTTCCGTGTCGCCCCACTGGATCGACTCTTCGCATATGAACCCTACGAAATTGTCCTGCACCGTCTTATCCTTGCGAATCAGATCGGCAACGTTCTTGAACAAAGGCCCAAGTCCCGTGGCGACGGCGACCTCCCCCAATTTTTGGGTATAGTCGATTTGGTCAGCGTCACTTTCCCCTGATTTTTCAATGTTGTCAAACTCCACATATTGAAACCCCCTTTCTCTGAGTTTTTGCATGCGCTTCGTCATGCCAGAAATTAGCTGGGGCCACTTGTCAAACTTAAGCCACGTTTCCCCATCCCAACATTCGTAACCGCCGACTTGTCGTCGCGCCAATCCTCCCAGCTTCTGGCCGATATGTATCCCGCCACGAGGAACCCCTTGGCCTTGTACTTTGCCACCTCGCTTGCGCTATCGTCTCCGTCCAGCATCACAATGGACCCCGCGCCATCCGATGGCATGGGGATGTACATGATCGTGGATGCGCTGAGACCCCGGATCGAGGACGTCGTTGACGACCCCCCTACAACAGCGGTGGCCGCCGTTTTGGGTTTGCACGTGCACGGTTTACAAGCCCTGGTTTTACCCACCCTGGTTTTGTTATCTGCCATTGGAACATTCCGTCGCGAACGTCTCTGGATATATAGCACGGCACATATCACACATACTAATACTGTGACTATGAATACGGCAATGTGGGTTTTGGACAAGAGCATTTTTTGTAGTTGCGAAAAAAACTTTTGCGAAATAAACATGGTGGGGAATTTTTATTATTATAGCTGGCGCAGTTTTCGATTCCAAGATCCTTGATTTTTGCCTTGCCCCTGTAATCGTCTAGCACGTCCACCGCGTACTCGAGGTCCATTTTTGTTTCCTCCACATCTCGAGCCAGTTCCTTGATCTTGTCGTCGACAATCGTCCGATACCTCTTGTGCCGCCAGGACCTCGTTGCGGTCTACGCGTTTTTCACTGTTCCGCAGTTTCTGGATTTGCGATGCCGAGAGGTGCTGCTCGCTTCTTCGAGGACGGTGGATCGGTGACATGTTTTAGGGTTAAGGGTTTACTTGTGTGTTTATTTGAACCGCAAAAAAAAGAAGAAATAAAAAAATACCGGCGAAATGTGAGGCAAACCTCAAATTGTCACGAAAAAAAAACAACAACAAAAATGAGCGACGGAAGTATCAGCGTGGGAGCCCAGCACGGGCCCGGGAACAGGGGGCGTAACAATATTAGTCTAGGCAACAAGGCCGGGTTTACTGGACAGCACCGCGATGCCATTGCCATTGGGTACGGGGCCGGGCACCGCGACCAGGGCGACACGAGCATTGCCATTGGACGGTTCGCGGGCTCGACGTCGCGGCACGCCCACACGATTGTGGTTAATGCAACGGGAAAGGCCATGAACACGCAGCACACGAATGCCACGTTAATTGGGCCCGTAAACGAAACGACACCGGATCCCAAGCTGCAGCTGCTCGCGTACGATCTGGATACGGTGCTCGTGGTATCACGTCCGCCCGATTTGGGTATTGTGGGCGTGAAATCCAACTCTAAATCTAATTATAATTCTGATTCTAATTCTGAATCTAATGGTGAATCTAATTTGGTGCGACAATCGTCGTCACTGAGCTTTCAACTGGCCACGGGCGCGATGTCGACCGTAACCCTGCCACGCATGGGCGACCCAGGGTCCCAGGGTCCCAGGGGCGCATGTGTTGACCAGATCGTCAAAGCGCCCGACAGACGGACAGCGTGGTCCACGATCTGGGTCCGTTCAAGGGCCCAAAGGGTCAGGTGGGCTCGGGCGTGGCCAATGTCCGCGTAGAGGGCGACATGTTGCAGATGGACCTTGCGGAGGGTACGCGCCAAATCCAACTGGGTACGTTGATGAAAGCAGACGCTGATGATGACAGTACCGAATTGGCGCCCATTAGCGTACGCGAGCACACGGGCCATGTTGAGCTCCAGATGTCGGACGCGCGCACGGTAGTCGCCGGCAGCAAAACGTTCACCGGAACCCCGGGCCCTCAAGGAAGTACGGGGCCGCGCGGCGAAAAGGGCGCCGAGGGCGTGGGTGTGAGCGGTGTGGTGCTTGACCAGAACGCGGATACCGTCACGGTGTCGTACACGGACGGCACCGAACGCGCCACCAAGGGTATTCGGGGCCCAAAGGGGCTGGACGGGCTCCACTTTGAGCTTCTGGCCGTCACGCCGCGGGGCATGTTCGAGATACATCTTGGGGTGCGGCAACCCAGTGCGGGTGGGAGAACCCCCAAACAGCCCGTCAAGTTCGAGGTCGGCAGTGTGTACGAGTACACAAACAGCGGTGAAACGTCGTTGGCCAAGGGCCATACCGGTCCCCGTGGGCTGGGTATCAAGGGTATCGTGTATTGCAGCGAAACCAAGAGTCTCCAACTAACCCTGAACACGCAAACCGTGATTGAGATCCCGTACTTTGTGGGGGTCGACGGCAAAATTGGGTCCGATGCCATTGATCTCGACGAGCCCGTGGCGGGGCCCGCGGGGCCAGAAGGTCCAGAGGGTCCACGGGGCACGGACGGCGGGCTGGATATGCAGCACACCACGCCGTACGTGGGTGACGGGGACTACGTGCTGTGGAACGGCAACACGTTTGCCAATAGTCTCGTAGCCCAGCTGCTAAATACCGCACCCCAAAATGTACCGAGCAACGGGACGCCCAGTGTGTACATGGGCGCGTACGTGGGCAACGACGGCACGTCCACGGGGTCGGTGGGACTCGGCGAGAGCGCGGGAGCCATGCAACAGGGCGTGCACGCCGTGGCCGTGGCCGCCGGATCGTTGTCGCAGGGACAGTACGCGATGGCCATTGGCCTGGATGCCGGCGGTGAGAGGCAGGGCACGGGTGCGGTGGTCGTGGGCGTGGCGGCCGGCGCCACTACCCAGGGCGACTACGCCGTGGCCATGGGGTACAAGGCCGGCAACGTGGACCAGGGTGCACGGGCCGTGGCCGTGGGGGACATGGTCGGGATGCATAACCAGCTCGGTGGCGCGATCACGCTGGGTGCGGGTGCGGGGTACGTGCAGCAGGGGGCCAAGTCCATAGTCGCTGGCGCGGGGTGCCTATGCCAACCAACTCGGTCCAGCTCGGGTCCACCACCCTGCTGCCCGTGCATGCAAACACGACGTTTCTGCCGTACTAAATGCGCAACGACCAGCGCGGCGCGCGCATGTTTTACCACCCCCAAACGCATGAGATCACACACGCGGGGTGTGCGAGCATGGACGTTAGGCTGGACGTGGCGGACGAGCTCATCGACCGTCTGCTGCGTGTACCGATCCGGAAAGGGAACAACGCGATGCGGCTCGGACTGGGCATGGACGAGCTCGGAGAGGTGGCGCCCGAGTTTATGGTGGAGAACGGAGTCAACTGGGATATGGTGCGTGACACGCTTGAGACGCGTATCGAGCAGCAGTATCGCCGCTGCCGCGATCTAGTTTTAGTGTAACCAAAATTCCTGATTGTAATTTTACACTGAAACTGAATAAAACACACATACACACATACACACACATGCACACACATACACATATACACACATACATGCATACACACACATACACATACACATACACATACATACACATATACATACACACAAAAAAACTAACGGTACTGTAGGAACTGCGCGTACCCGTCACGGCACGGCTGGTAACCAGAGGCCCGTTCATGTCCATAAACTTGACACTGCTGGAGCTCGGCACGGCGGTGGGGCAGGGGGGCTGGGTCGCGACCGGGGGGGTGGGAGCACACGGACTTTAGCAGGTAGTAGTTAACTGCCGGGGGAATGGTTGGGCAGACGGTGGGGCAGGCCGTGGGGCAGGGTGGGCTCTTGATAACAATAAAGTTGCCACAGTCGCCATCGACGGTGGTGGGGTTACATGCAGTTGATGGACACGGCATGATTTGCAATTGTCTTAAGTTGTTTATTTACTTTTGGGAAACTTTTTTTTTTTACCACCGACGGAACGAATACAAAAAAAAATGCATAACGGTTTTTTTGATTTTTTTTTTCACCTATTTTTTATTATCCAGCCTAAAGTTTTCGATTCTCCGTTTCTCAATCAGGCGATCGTACTCTGACTCGCTCATGTACTCGTACACCGCCGCGCTCGGTCTGAGCCGCATCATACTCGAGAGGCCGTGGGTCATGTTTTCGTGCGAGTAGCTCGCCTCGCCCGTCTGTTTTTTGTTTGCATTTGTGTTTGTGTTCATGTTAGAATTCGTGTACACGACCGGCCACCGCAAGTCGTGGCCGCGTTCCTGCTTGCTCCCCGTGATTGAAAAGTCAAACGAAATGGTGGTAAAGTCCTGGCCCGGATTGCTCAGCGACAACAACATCGACGGGTCCCGTGTTAGTGACGGGTACAGGTCAATCACCGTGTTGAACCGTCGCTGGCCAATATAGTGCGGGTGCTTGGGGTCCCTGATCTCTACCGGGTACCCGTTCTTGGCCGGGATACACGCCACAATCTTGATCTTAAACTTTTGGTTCTTCAGGATCCGCGACTCGACAAAGGCGCAGATGTTCTTGTAGCCCGGCAGCTTATTAGTGTATACGACGTCAGCACGTCCACGAGCTCCAGGTGCAGCGCCACCTCGTCAATGTACCCCACCGTAGTATCGTGGAACCCCATCTGGACATTGACGTCCAGTTCCTCGAGCAGGCCCTCGAACCGCGACATTTTATATATATAAACAAAATCAAACAAAAAGAAAATGAAAAATATACCCAAAGTATAGGGATAGTCTCGCTTTTTTCTTCTAAAAATATGCCCAAACTGCTTCTTCTTCTTTTTTTTTTGCCTTGTTTCGTTCGAGTGCCAGATATCACCCCGATGCCGCGATCAGGCCCTCGAACCGCGACATTTTTATTATTATTAACAAAATCAAACAAAAAGGTCCAGACATCCCTTTTCTTCCTTTTGTTCAACTGTACAAACCCGGATTTCGATATGTCCACTTAACATCCGGCTATATATAAAAACAAAAATCCATCACGTAAAAAGATCTCGTAATGTGGAAAGTCGGGAATTCAAAGGTGCGGCTGGGTAGTAGTGCCGGATCAGTACGTCAGGGGTCCTCCGTCGTCGCACTAGGTGACTCGGCCGGTATGACCGACCAACAGGATAACGGCGTGGCTATTGGTACCGAAGCCGGTTATGATAACCAGGGTGAACAAGCCATTGCCATTGGGACACGGGCCGGCCGCGAAAATCAGCACGACAATACGATTGTACTTAACGCGTACAGCAGCGCCCTCAACACCCAGCAATCAAACTCGCTGTGCGTAAATCCCGTCCGCGAGTCCACCGATGCGGGCAACCTTGTCCGTTACAACGAGTCTACATCCGAGATGGTCCATGCGCCGATTGATACGGTTGTCGACGGTAAAAGTCTTGTTGTGTCCGGCACTGATTCTAAAATCGACGCGTTTGTGTTCCAATCTCTCGTTGATGCGTTGATCTCAGACCACATATCGACAGGTGACGTGGTCGAGGTTTTCGGCCGCGAGGTCGCGGGTGACGGATGCATGCATGTAAGAATGTAAGAATGTTTGTTTGTATGTATGTATGTATGTATAT